ATGTTCTACTTTATAAATACCCCTAGAGAACGGACAAAGACCTTCCCGAGTAATATTTTTATCAAAAAGAGCGGAGTATGATTGCACTACCGCTTAGATCGACCCAAACGGTAATAATTAGTCGACCTGCTTCGGTCACGTTTGACCTTGATAGAGTCACAGACCTTCCATTTTTCAGTGATCAGTCTTCTAAAGTAGGGGCGGTCCAACTTGGTGGATGGTAGTGTTTTATGATACTTTACTGGACTTACATATCTATCTACCTTTGTCTATATTTGATGTTTTTCGTCTGTCGTGATACGGAATATCTTTCGAATCTTGTTTTTAATGTTAATTAATTATTCTTTGTTGCTTAGCTACGGTGGTCACTTCTGTTATTCATTTACAATATGGGGCCCAGGTAACTAATTAAACGAGATGATCCACAATAGTACTACTAAATCTGTGAAACGGTATTAAGAATAGCTAGTTACCTTGTTAAACTTAACATCTTTCAAGATTCGTGTGATAAGGTTGAGCGTATACATTTACCGACTTTGTAGTAATTATGGCTGAGAGATCGGTACAGGTATATCCGTTAGAGATTGGTTCTCTCTCATCCACATTCGTCAATTTCCCCGCATTAAACGGTTGTCTCATTTGCATTTAGTTATTGGAGGGGTAGAAGTGTATGAGACACTCAAAGTCATATCATCCTATTCCGCTATTAATTCCCTTAAATCTATCAGCGTTGACATAATATTTTAGGGACCTAATAGGGATGTCACGATAATGCATGTATCACCAATTCGCTGATCATTAACAGAGAAGAAATTAGACGGGTTCATGCACTTGCCTCATTTATCCTTGCCCGAAAGCTATATGAGGCGATAAATGAATTGCCGCAGCAAATAGATCTGTAAGTGTCCGACGTCGGTGCCGGCTTGATTATTTTCCCCGACACAGTCCTTGCTGAAAGCACTTGATCAGGCATCCACACTAGACCGTATTTGAGTGTACAATACCACACATTTCTTACACCAACTATTGGGCCTAAATTACATACTCCTCGACGTACTGGTTATTTTTCTTAATAAACCTTCGAACTCATTGAATATTGACTTCTGATTTGATTATCTTAGAGATCCGCGATTACTAAGTTGTTATAGTGTTGTTGCCATGCCCTAAACAACTCTATCATTTTGACTTACAATTTACCAACTTTTAAGCATGATTGGCTAACATTAGGAGGAAGGGAGTTGATCACATTATGTTGTGAGATAAATTAAATAGAGTACACTGTTTATCTAGTGTAATCCTGTCAGACGGTTACAAGTGTGATACACAAAATCCTTGATGACCAGGTCATTAATGGGCGAACACTCAGATGAGATCCCAATTCTTCGAACTATTATTATTATTATTATCCACAAACATCTTATGGGTACATAAGTGCTTTGAAGAAACCATTTCGGGTTTCTTCAAAAATGCAACAGTACACAAGTTTCAATAATGCCAGCATTGTATTTGCCATATTTGAGAAAGAGAAAGAAAGATAACAATGATAACTGAATAATAACAAACCAGGTTTTGTATAATTGAGAAGAATAATGAGTTGACTTTAAAGAAGGAAAGGGAGAAAATAAGGGAATAGAAATAAAGGAGACTCGAAATACGTAACTAGTTTAATAAGTGTTTATGAACACAGGACAAGAATAAACGACTATGTATGTATCGCCAAATGAGTAACAAAAATAAAACAAAGTAAATAAGAAAAATAACTCGTAATGCTATGAACTAGAAGCATTGGTGAAGAAATTGAGGTCACTCATCGTAGCTGTTACGGAAACTTGGTTATCCCACGACTTCGACATTACTCCAGAATTATCCAGATATCACCACCTAAGAAGTTATAGATATAGGTGTAGGAAAGAATGTGGCGTCCTTTTATACATAGCCGATAATATAAATATCTGCTGCTTTGTTTGAGAATCCCATGACAGTGGAACATGTGAAGTCATTAGCTGTGAACACATCATCAGATATTGTACATTTATATTCGGTGTCATCAATCACAGCCCAATCTGCTTAGCAGACGGCTTGACTTTAGAGTACATTCAGTTATGGAATGTAAAAAGCAAATGCTTGATATTATGTGACTTTAATGCAACTGATATTAGTTGGACTTCGATGGCCACGGTAAAATTTATAAACCCTTTTGATAATAGAATCCCGGTAATGAAGTATGCATTATCACAGCACGTATACGAACTCACATGTTTTAGTTCAAACCAAGGTTTTTCGTTGTAAGAATTGGTAATCACCCATGCGACTGAGGATATTAACAACCTAAATATTATTCCACCGTCGGTGAATAGCAACCAGACTGTTTTGTCATTCATGTTCAGAGCTTGTGACATCATATACGATCTGGTTGAGCCTCACCCAGATGTATGGAGAGCTAACATATCAGCCATTCATGAATGTGCTGCTAAGACAGATTCGTCAGTAGATACCAGCTCATCAATCGAAGAAACATGGTCTGTATTTAAAAGTAAGCTTATTTCAGTTACATCGTCGTTTATACCATGCCTAGTACTGCGTAGACTTAATAACTTTCTCCTGTGGACAACTTAAGGGATCAAGAAAATTCTTGGATGTAGGAAAAATCATTAGAATGTATGTTCACCTCTACAAGCTTAAAACAGTATATATCCAGTTACTGTGAAACTAGGAATGCTTAAAAGGCGTTGATAAGTAAGACCAGACAGTAATGTGAAAACAATTGGTTAGGGACTGTGAAAATAGTCTGAAAAGGTTATTATCACTTACAAAGAGGTGAACTCAGAGAAGTGATGGAACTCCACTACTTTCAGTACAAGAAAATTCGTCGATATTGGCAAGAAATAATACCAGAAAGCCGAAGCTTTATCGAAATACTTTAGTAAATCGTTTTCTACCAGCAATAAGGAGCGGCTAACGGTTAATTGCGATTGGAGCGACTTGTCAATGGATCCTGTTTTTACTGAAAAAGGTACTGTTTTAAAAATACTTCAACAATTCACCTGATAAATCCAGTGGTATTGACGATATTCACCCTACGATTATGAAAACCCTATGGAATTTAATTACTAAACCTATAGACATACTGTTTGATAAGTTTCTGCAGTAGTCTAGACTGCCAACAGACTGGGAAGACGCAATAATTAGTCCGATGTATAAGGTGGGGAGCAGAGACTTATTTAGTAACTATCAACCCGTAAGCCTGACCAGTGGAGTTGTAGTAAAGATTATGTGGAAGGGAATAATCTTTTAGCCAGGGCACAATACGGTTTTTGGAAAGGCCTATCATGCTTGACAAATTTGCCTATTCCTAGAGAAAATTGGGCTGCAGCAAAAGGTCGAAATATTCATGTAGATGTAGTTTTCACAAATATAAGTAAAACTTTAGACAGTATCCCCCATTCGGGTTTTAAATTAAAACTGGAAAATTTTGAAATCCATTAAGAAGTCACATAATAGATAAGTGAGTTTCTGAGTGATAGGAGATAGCGGATAAGGGTGAGTCAAGCTCTCTCAACGTGGGAACCTGCAAAAGATGGAGCCTCCCAAGATTCAATCCTTTCTCCTCTTCTTTTTTTACTCTATGTAAATGAATTATCAACTGTAGCAAATCCATCCCTTCTTCTCTTCACCGATGACATAAAGATTTGGAGACCCATACATAGTATGCCAGATAGAAGAGTATTACAGGATGATCTCATTTCATTGGTGGCATTGATGGGCGGGTGGTTACTAGAAGTAAGTTTTGACAATAGTGTCTTGATGCAAATAAATAAACAACTATAATGATTCATATCACCACCCAATTTGATAGAATATGAAGATTTAAGAGTCATAACAAGCAGCGACCTCAAAACTAAGAGCAACATCAAGGCTGTTGCTGCCAAAGGCTTAAGGGTATTATGGGCTATTTGTACGTCTTTTCAGTACTTGGATGAAGAAATGTTTAAAGTATTATAGCCAACTGTCGTGAGACAGCACTTGGAATATGGGATTCAAGCAGTGAGTCCTTTTTTCAAGTATGAGGCGGATATGCTGGAACGACTCCAACAACGAAGGACTAAAATGTTAAAAGATCTCTCTTGGCCTATCTTGTGAAGACAAACTGAGATACAACTTATTTTCGTTATCGTACCGTAGATTATGGGGTGATCTAATATTGGCTTATCGTATACTGGACAATGACCTTGGTATTAATGTCTTATCTTTTCTTTCTATTTAAGACTGGCCATTTGGAAGGAAATTCTAAGAAAGTTCAAGAACGGAGATCAAATCGTCTACGTCCAGGGTTCCGTTTCTCTCACTGAATAGTGAATTACTGTAATTCTCTTCCAGTACATATAATATCAGCACCTTCTGGTGATACATTCAAAACTACACTGGACCTTCACAGTGTTACAAACTGCAAGAATAAGCGTGATTCGATAGACCTCTTGTCCTTATTACTGAAGACTGAAGAGTGAACTATGAGTCTTTAGGGTTAGGAGAGCAGATTATCTAGACAAACATCACTCATCACAATCAAAAATTGTGAAACAGCCCCTTTATGGCAAGACACAATAACAAGGAAATCAGCTATCTGGTTACTAGTACCTTGATAGTGAGGCAAAAAGGACACCTGCGAGACAGAAACTGAAGGTCTAAAATAATGCTCTTGAAGCGCCCTGTTCAATCGTTGAGCGTGTAACGCGTTCAAATAGTACCCCACCAACTCTCAGTTTCGGTTCTCAGATTGTCCTGATCTTACGCTCGCGTCATTGCTAATTGTTGTCAACCGCTTTCATTAATAGATGTAACTTCATTTTGTATTCTTGGTGATTCATTTTCCCTATATCTCCAGATATCTTCGAACGTTCCCCCAGTACACAACGTACCACCACATATTAGCATCTCATTAAAGGATTTACTCCTACGACAATTCCAGCCGTTTAGTCGAGTTGCACATTGCAAACCACAGGATGGAAGAGACTGAACATGTTGCCCGGCGGCTTGACCGCATGCTAAAAAACAAAAAAATAGTATGCTTTGGTCTAGCTTTCGTAATGTGTTTTCTCAGGATGATGAGTCTGCGCTGAAATACCTTAGGAGATTGCGAAGCATCGAGATGACTCTGGAAATCTTAACGAAAACCGGTGTAGGTATTATTATCAACAAGATAAGAAAGGAGTCAGAAGACCCGGAGGTTGCTACATTGGGGAAAAACATGATAAAGCAGTGGAAAAAGCTAGTCCCAGGTAGGTGAATTTTATGCCGAAACTCTTGAATATATCTCTTGGCTTCTGGGTTTCGTATTAATGAAATGTCTTGGGACGATAATCTACCGTTTACTGTCTTGAATTTTGACTCAAAATCCATTCGTTACTATGACCCTTATTCTAATTCCTTGTCCCAACCTATAATCCTAACTTCTAGTCTCGTTTCCTAACACTGATATATAAACATGTTTCGACCACAGCACGTGGTCTAGGTCTCTCAAGGACGCTAGTATTTCTCAAAGGTCGTCCGTAAATTTTATCACTGTAAAAGTGGTATCATTAGTAGTAGCAGTAGTTGCGGTCAAAGTTTAATGATCACTCGTCCCAGACTGTTGGTTGAAGCTATCGTACGGACATAAACCGGGTGATATACACTTAACATGACAGTCGAGCTTCATGGACTGTGACATCCTAATCTGGCCACACTTTCGATTCATGCCTACTCCTACACCAAACAATTTGACCTGTTGGCATAGGCGGTGGTTGGACATACGTACTGCATATCCCGACCACCCTGGTTGATGAAAATCGACCGCCTCATCAAGTGATTTTCCAGTTATCTAGTCCTTATAATGCAACTGTTGTACACTCAAACCAGTGAGGCGACACCTTTATTTTCTTATGATAGAGTAAGGTGTACACGCAGTCAGTCAGCTACAACTTAGGACCAAGCACATATATGCATCGATCCAAGTTGCCAGACCTCATTAGCACAAGATGAACACTTAATTCATAGTAGTTACTTCAGTGGTAGTAATATATAATAGAAAGATTGTGCGTAAGGATATAATACACGAAGAAAGGGTTAGTTCGTAGAAAGAAAGGTATGAGCCAGTTTTAATCTTACGGTTTAAAAGAAGACAGAGTGTATACACTTACTCCATCGTGATCGATTCTGAGCCGTCACACAGAGTCTCCAACTACTAGTTACTGTAGTCGCGCGGCTCCCAACCAAGTAGTCTGCATCTACCAACATGGCTCAGACCAGATGTTAGTAACTTTATGGACTGTTGCCACGTTTCGGTTTGGCCGCCCCTAACTTTCTTCCAACCATCCCGAACACCCGTCAGCATTGCACGTCGTGGTAATCGGTGTTCAGGCATACGTAACACGTAACCCAACTATCTCAGTCGATGAAGATTTACAATCTCATCAACTGATTTACCATCATTCCCTAATACTCTGCGTCTAACCTCACTATTACTTACCCGGTGATCCCAGCAAATGCCAGCAATATTTCTAAGACATCTGTGATCAACTACTAGTAACTTACGACTATCCGCTACTCTTAATGACCACGTTTCGCAGCTGTAAAGTAGAACAGAACGAACTGTCACGCAGTATGCTCGTCCTTTAGTTGATAAATGAATATTTCCCCTTCGCCATAGACGACGTAAGGTGGAAAAAGCCAAACGAGATTTTTGAATCCGTACAGAGATTTTGTCAGACACCAACCCATTATGGCTGGTCAGACTTCCAAGATAAGTAAAATTATCAATGCGTCCTTCTACTTCGCTTCTCATTCTTAGTTCAGTTGTTGACACAGACCAGTCCTGAAGCAACAACTTGCATTTGAGGGGAGTAGCGCATCCCAACACATACTGGCATCGTTGCTGTGTGCTACCTAGAGACTCTGCATTTGATCAGCTTCTTCACTAAACAGGACTATATCATCTGAGTATCCTAAGTCGATAAATAGACCATCCCTAAAATTCAGACAAAAAGAGCGTTACTTCCAGCAGTAGGTCTATAATGAAGTTGAACAAAATGGGGATAGTAGATAGCCTTGCCGGATACCACTTGAGGTTGCAAAATCAGGTGACAAGTCACCGTAAGCTCGGACTCGACTGGTAGTGTTCAAGTAAAAGCCTTCACAGGATCTATATACTTCTGAGGTACGCCTCTCACTGCCACAGAATCTCGTTGTCTACAGAGTCAAATGCTGTTTTTAAGTCAAGGAAGACCACCATTGTCGGACGCCGATAAGCGTGCCCGTGTTCTAGAACCTGACGGATGATGAATATGTGATTGATGTAGCCACGACCAGGTCTGAAGTTAGCCTGACTTTTTCGTGTTTGCAGTTCACGAGTCTTTGTTAGGTGCCCGATAATTATTGGGGCTAGTATTTTAAATGCTATGTTAGTCAAAATAATCCCTATATGGTTATCTCAGGATGATTTTCACCCTTACTTATATATTAGGACAATAATTGATTGAGATCACTCAAATGGGATTACGTTTAACTCCCAGAATTTAGCTAAAATATTAGTCAACCTAACCGTTAAGGTTAGACCACCATCCTTAAAGACCTTAGGAGCCAATCCATCTGGACCAGCTGCCCTTCCTCGTTTCAGATTAGCTATAGCTTTTGGAACGTCAACTAGAGTCGAGGGACCTATTGCCATTCATGCTGCTTGTAGTTGTAGAGTAGCTGTAGGCCAGCTGAACTGCGCTTTACAGTGTTCCGCCCATCGTTCTCAACGTCTGGGCTGAGAGCACATAAGAGTGCCGTTTTTTTCCGAGATAGTCTCACGCTTGACTTCTTAACTGCAGTTTTTTTTATTAGTCTGAAAAGCTGTCTGGTGTTACCTACAGCCGCTGCTGTTTCCATTTCTTCTGCTTTCGTTGCCCACCACTGCTCACAGTCGTTCCTTAGACTTTCGGTTAACCTAGATCTGATTTGTTTTCGTTCTTCATCGTATTCAAAGCCTGGTGGGATGAGTTTATGAGGATCCGTCAGTGCAATAGACTTAATTGAAATCCACAGGTTTTTCGTAACCCCTTTGGTTTAAATCACTTAGATGTTCTTGTTGTTCTCACAGCTGTTCGTATCTTTTTCCAAGTAACATATGGGTCATCCGCGTTTTCAGAACTACCTAAGTGTAACCTCAGTTGTCCCTGGAATCTACTTTTAGCTTTCTCATCACTGAGTTCAAATTGATTTGGTCTTCTTAATATGATTTTTCTGCGTCCAGCGAGGCGCGAGCAAATGCGTGCTCGTATTGGAGCATGACCGGAGTTCAAACAGATATCCGAGAACGTGCGACAGGCTTCTGTAGAGCTTCTCCAACAGTGACTGATGGCAATATGGTCTATTTGAGTCCATCGTTGGTTTGGTGCAAGGGTTCGCCGTGTAGAACAATGTCTCTCCTTATGCTTAAAATTAGTGTTTGCTAAAAATAAACGATTGTCTGAGCACAGTTGCAGCAGACGATCACCATTATCTGTTCGCTGAGCCGGAGTAATGAAATACCTACCTAAATGTCTTTCTATTTGGTTTAAGTTACCTACTTAGGCATTAAAGTCACCTACTATGAGTACTATATCTGAGTGTTTAGCTTTATAAAGGTGTTCAGAGAGCTTTCTGTAAAAGTTATCTTTCACTTCACTCAAGCTGCAGTTAGTGGGAGCGTAGGCAGAAATGATGAACAGGCAACGACGTGTCCCTGTCCTTCCGAGTTCTTACGGAGCCGTTCAGCCGAACAGCACATAGGCGACTGTTAACAGGGATCCATTCTAATAGTGCTTAGTGCTATACCTACATCCACCAGTTCACGAGAACTACCCATCAGGTTGCCAGACACACGAAGGGTGTATCTCGTCGGTTCTCCGTTTTGGCGAGATGAGGTCAAGTGAATGAACACACTAGAATCCTGTATGCGTGTTTTGGAGACACAGCATACATCAGTGGTACGACATTCTATGATTTTAGCCAAGGAGGCCTGTTGGTCGATTTGAAATAGAGTGAGTACGTTGAAGTCTCCAATCTGTAGTTTTGAGCGAGGTTTCAGCAGACTTGGAACAGTGTTTCGCGTGCTAAAATCGTTGGCCATGATGACACTTGAGGAGGAAGTTTAGAGTTGGAAGTTGACGTAGGAGGAATAATAGGGATTATATAGGGAGATTGATTTTGAATACGGAGGTCTTGAGTACTGTTAGAGGTATGTGGGTGGTTATCACTTCTCGGTTGCCCACACTGTAGAAGAGATGTTCTGGGGGGACCTGAAAGGGAAATTCGGTTAGTGGTGATCTTAGTGACCTGAGAGCGTGACCGCAGTACCCAAGGGACAACTGCTTGAGGTTGTTCACACTAGACCATTTTGTGAGTAATTTTCGTGTTAGCTCCGTACTTGTTGAGACCTTACTGCTAGAGACGGAAATCCGTTGGATAAGGCAGTGTGCATGTTTAGGGTCGATCTATTCTAACCCCACCCTTCGTTGTAGGAAGACAACATCTCTGTCATGCGAGTTGTCTGAAGGAGACACCTTACTGCTGCCACACCTCGGTAGTACGACTTCGCCCTCGGACCTTGGGTTTACTGCTTTTGGTCTTACCGCTTTTCAACCGACCTACCTGGCATGGTAGGACCTTGAGGGACAATTGTTCCAGCCAGTAAAGCTCGATTGGTTCATCAAGATAGACAAGTCCGACCACCACGTCAAGGTAGCAGCAACGGTCGAGTTTTGATAGATTGGAAAACTAAAGATGGGTAGAATAAGGCATGAAGTCCATTCAGTCTTTCACTATCGTTTTTCTTGTGAATGTGAAACATTGCATCTAAGAATCGAAAGCACGCAGTGGTTGATAGCATTTGGACATAGCTGTCTGGAAGGGATTAGTGTTGTACATCCAGACTTTTTGGCTAAGCAGTAAATCTTGGAATGCTACGTAAGTAGTTGACTGCCTCATATTACCAACTTTCAACTACTGAAGTAGCTGGGATAGTAAAGGCTTCAATGTAAAGTGATATCGGAAGGTAAACAAAGATGGTTCAATGTTTTTATTTATAATTACTTCAACATATCGTATTAAGATATTAATAATGGTAGTAAAATCAAGCTATTTGATTTTGTTGTTCCGAATCTGCATATCTTCAAAGTATGTTATACTTGTGTCAGGTTCACCTCTTAAAAGAGATCTTGTTTCTGTTCCTCAGGTAAAGCAATTGTTAACCTTGATGGGATATTATTTTCCAGCCAAGTGCTTAATATAATCATAGTGCTAAATCAGGGAACTATACAAACTATTAGTCGTTACTGATATTTTTGAGAGGTTGCTAACGATTCCTTTTTATATTTTGTTATATTTCAGACAAAAGTGAAGCTCCTGCATCTTGCACCAATAGTGTTGGGAATAACAATAATGACAATGGCAACAATAATGACAACAAACATTCACCTGAGTCAAATAACTACAATGTCTGTGACGATGGTGGACCACAAGAAGCCAAACGGTCTCGGCCAAGTGAAAAGAAGGAATCTACAGAACTGTCGGGAAATGCAAGTCGTGGCTTTTTTCCTGTCCACACTTTGACTACAACAGATCAAGTACGTCTAAAAGCCCGAGAGATGCTTCAATCAGCACTAGAAAGTGGCAGTAAGTGACAGCAGCAGACCTACACTGATTTCATTTCTTAGATATTCCTAGCGGTGCTTATGAAAGTGAGTTCCTAGCAATACGAATAGAAAGCTCCATATATGATCTTTTCAACAATACTGATCCCAAGTACAAACAACGAGTACGTACTAGAGTTATGAACCTACGCGATTCTAATAATCCCAATTTGCGACTTAATGTCCTAATGGGACACGTGAGTCCGGACAAACTAGCATCGATGACATCAGAAGTAAGTTTTCATTATTTTTTTGAAAATCCATGTATATTTTTTCTCAGTAATCTACCATTTTGAAACTAACTTTACAGATCAGCTGATATCTTCCCGAACTTGATTCTGTCATCGATTAATACTCTTATCTTTAGTAGTAGTGTGAATTGATCAGTTTATAACGTCTGGCTTTGCTCACATTAAGCGTGAGTTGTCCTAAACTCTTTCATTTGTATAGTTTCCTCAATCTATTCACAGAGTGTTTGAACTTGAGTGACCCACCTAACTCATTTAGCTGACCGATCTTTTATACAAATAGTTCAGTGATTGGTAATTTGGAAGCAGTAGCATCGTAGAGCTTGATATGTATGTAGATCAGTTCAAGTTGCCATACCTCATTAGCACAGAGATGACATTGTCAGATCAAATCCAAGAGTGTCAGAGGTAGTGACAGTACCAGTGGTAATGGAAAGGATTAAACATTGAAGATAAGATTCAAGAAAATATAAGTTAGTGGAATAAAAACAATAAAATTATGTGGAATTCAAAAATAATCTTAGGTGCTATTGGAGGTATGAGGACGATTGTTACTTCGCGGCTACCCACACCATGGAACAATGTTTTGCTGACTTACTAGTGAATAACCACTTGTTCTATGTCAAAAAGTTCATCGAAATGTCGGAAAACCATCCGTTTTCTGTATCGTTTACTTAGTAACCTCAATTTTTATTATCCTAATTATTTGAATGCTTATCAACCCACTTTGCAAGTTTGAAGCCTACTTTGCTTGAGTGTTGGTAATTGTCTTCTAATCAACATGTACTTAGCTAGTTAGTTGCCTATTTAAAGTTTGTTGGTTAGCGTTATATCAACGATATCTCACTCAATATCAATCTATTCAATATTCGTCATAGAAGTACCAATTTAAAAAGCATTGTATGATTTTGATCAATTTTGGGATTCTTCGGATAGCTATGGAAGCAAACTTGCTACATTTTTGAGCTATCTGTATTCAGTCTTCCACGGTGTGGGCAACCGGGAAGTGATAACCGCCCTCATACTTCTAACAGCACTCAAGTCCACTGTATTCATAATCAACCTCCTCTTCAATTCCTATTATTCCTCCTACATCGACTTTCAACTCTATATTTCCTCTCTCGGCTTCCACCTCAAGTGTCACCGTAGCCAACGATTCTAGTGCGCAAAACACTGTCCCAGGTCTACTGAAACCTCGCTCCAAACTACACATTGGAGCCTTCAACGTACGCACCCTATGTCAAATCGGTCAGCAGGCTTCCTTGGCTAAAACCCTAGAGTCTCTTTCCATTGATGTATGCTGTGTCTCCGAAACACGCATACAGGATTCCAGTGTGGTCATTCACTTGACCTCACCTCGGCAAGACGGAGAGCCAACGAGATACACCCTTCGTGTGTCCGGTGACCCGATGGCAAGTTCTCGTGGACTGGCAGGTGTAGGCATAGCACTAAGCATAAGGGCCGAACAAGCACTGCTAGAGTGGATCCCCGTCAACAGTCGTCTATGTGCTGTTCGGCTGAACGGCTACGTAAGAACTCGGAAGGATAGGGACACACGTCGTTGCCTTTTTGTCGTTTCTGCCTACGCTCCCACTGACTGCAGCTCAGATGAAGTGAAAGATGAATTTTACAGAAAGCTATCCGAACTTCTTCAGAAAGCTAAACGCTCAGACATAGTACTCGTAGCAGGTGATTTTAATGCTCAGATAGGCAGTTTAAACCAAACAGAAAGGCATTTAGGTGGATATTTTAGTATTCCGACACAGCGAACAGATAATGGTGATCGTCTGCTGCAGCTATGCTCAGACAATCGTTTATTTTTAGCAAACACAAATTTTAAGCATAAGGAGAGACATCGTCTAACATGGCGACCCCCTACACCAAACCAACGATGGACTCAAATAGACCATATTGCCATCAGTCATCGTTGGAGAGGGTCGGTAGAAGATTGTCGTTCATTCTGGAGCACCTGCTTGGACTCCGACCATGCCCTAATACGGGCACGCATCTGCTTGCGCCTCAATGGACGCAAAAAAGCCACATTAAAAAGACCCATTAGAACTGAGTTGAGTAACGAGAAAACCAAAAGTAGGTTCCAGGAACAACTGAGGTCACACTTAGGTAGTTGTGAAGACGAGGCTGACCCAGATGTTGCTTGGAAGGACATACAAGCAGCTGTGGAAACAGCAGTGACATCTATTAGTGACTTAAACCACAGAGTTACAAGGAACCAGTGGATTTCTTCAAGGTCTGTCACACTGATGGATTCTCGCAAACTCGTCCCATCAGGTTCTGAACATGATGAAGAGCGTAAACAAATCAGATCTAGGTTAAGAAAAAGTCTAAGGAACGACCGTGAGCAGTGGTGGGTAACGAAAGCAAAAGAGATGGAAAAGGCGGCGACTATAGGGAACACAAGACAGCTTTACAGACTAATAAAAGAAACTGGAATTAATAAGTCAAGTGTAAGTGAGATTATTTCGGAAAAAGATGATACTCTCATCTGCTCCCAGTCCAGACGTTTAGAACGATGGGCGGAACATTTTAGAGAACAGTTCAGCTGGCCTTCAGCTACTCTACAACTACCCTCCATTCCCAGACAAAGTGAATGGAACATTGAAGTAGGTCCCCCAACTCTTGCTGAAGTTGAGAAGGCTATAGTTAATCTGAAACGAGGAAGGGCAGCTGGTCCAGATGGATTGGCTCCAGAGGTCTTTAAGGATGGTGGTCCAATTTTAGCGATTAGGTTGACTAATATTTTAGCTAAGATCTGGGAATTAGACGTTATCCCATCTGACTGGTCGCAATCACTTATCGTCCCAATATATAAGAAAGGGTCAAAATCATCCTGTGACAACCACAGAGGGATTAGTTTAACAAACATAGTATCTAAAATACTGGCCTCGATAATTATCAAACGCCTAACTAAGACTCGTGAACTACAAACACGAGAGAACCAAGCTGGCTTTAGACCTGGTCGTGGCTGCATCGACCACATATTCACCATTCGTCAGGTTCTAGAACACAGGCATACCTATCGGCGTCCGACGATGGTGGTCTTTCTTGACTTAAAAGCAGCATTTGACTCTGTAGACCGCGAGACTCTGTGGCAGTGTCTGTCATTGAAAGGCGTACCTCAGAAGTACATAAACCTTGTGAAGGCTCTTTACTCGAACACTACTAGTCGAGTCAGGGCTTATGGCGAACTGTCATCTACCTTTGCAACCTCAAGTGGTGTCCGTCAAGGCTGCCCACTTTCTCCATTTTTGTTTAACTTCATCATAGACCTATTGATGGAAATAACACTCTCGTCGACTGAATTCTCGGGTATTGATCTCCTTCCAGGAGGTCCACTTATCGACTTAGAATATGCAGATGACATAGTCCTGTTTGGTGAAGACGCTGACAAAATGCAGAGTCTTCTGGTAGCACTAAGCAACAATGCCAGAATGTTTGGGATGCGCTTCTCTCCCTCTAAATGCAAGTTGTTGCTTCAGGACTGGTCTGCGTCAACACCTGAACTAAGGATAGGGAGTGAAGTAGTCGAACGTGTTGACAACTTCACTTATCTTGGAAGTCTGATCAGCCCTAATGGGTTGGTGTCTGACGAAATCTCAGCACGGATTCGTAAAGCTCGTTTGGCTTTTGCCAACTTACGTCACCTTTGGCGGAGGCGAGATATCCGTCTATCAATAAAAGGACGAGTATACTGCGCGGCTGTCCGTTCTGTTTTAATTTACGGCAGCGAAACATGGCCCTTAAGAGTAGAAGACACCCGTAAGCTACTAGTATTTGACCACAGATGCCTTAGAAATATTGCTGGCATCTGCTGGGATCACCGGGTAAGTAATAGTGAGGTTAGACGCAGGGTATTAGGGAATGATGGTAAATCAGTTGATGAGGTTATGAATCTTCATCGACTGAGATGGTTGGGCCACGTATTACGTATGCCTGAACACCGATTACCGCGACGTGCAATGCTAACCGGTGTAGGGGATGGTTGGAAGAAAGTTAGGGGCGGCCAAACCAAAACGTGGCATCAGTGCCTGAAGTCACTAACTTCTAGTCTGAGCCATGTTGGTAGATGCAGACTACTTGGTTGGGGTCCGCGTGACTTTCGTAACCAATGGTTGGAGACCCTTGGTGACATGGCTCAGAATCGATCACAATGGCGTCGGTGTATACACTCTCTGTCTTCTCTTAAACTAAGAGATTAAGATCACTTCACATCTTTCTTTCTACGAACTAATTCTTTCTTCCTATACTATATCCTTATTGCAATCTTTCTCCTATATATTACCACCTTTGACCTAACCACTCCTATGAATCCAGTGTTCATCTTGCTGTGCTAATGAGGTATGGCAACCTGGGCCGATGCATACATGTGCCTGGTCCTACGTTGTAGCTGACTGACTGACTGATCTGTATTCAGTTGTAAGACGTGGTTTCTCGTATGTAAATCAAACTTAAACCTTTTATAACCATGCCAACACTACCACAGTATTAGTGTTATCTAAGACTACCACTGGCCATTATAAGTTGCACTTTAAAGGATTGATCGGATCAATCAAATAACCATCTAGGTACACTTAAAGGTAGGTTATTACATACTGTCACTTCACTAGAGGCGTTTTTACAGTTTCCAACATACGTAACATACTCTTCCGGGGCAACATCCAGCGGTTGTAATGGAAGAGGTTGTACAAGTTTCTTGTGCACATATATTTCTTGTTTTTCCAAATATGTAGCAAATGCCTCGGCAACGCTAAGAAAACAGAAGCTCACTGTCCTTGGCAGTTTTCTACTCACTTTATAAATGACTGGATGCTGAGTCCTCTTTGGTCAGACGACTTACTTCCACATGGTGTTCGATTAAAGAGCTTCCTATTGAGTCATTGTCGCTTCCTTTTAGCCAAGCTGGTTAATGTTGTTGAAGTCTTTTGGATGAAATACACATCGAACGACATATATACCCGGCTTCACAGGAATATGTTATTTGATGAACTCACATGGAATTGGTCAAATGAGTTAATTCGTCTTTGAGGTTATTACTAAACATTGGCCGACTGGAGAACACTTATTGCAAGGTTGCTGCGAAAAACAATCTATTGAAAGTCAGCAATTATGCTCTTCAGGATATCTTTATTTATTTTGCCTCACTATTATTTCCATTGTTATTATTTTGAAAAATATGTATAGATTTGTGATTATACAGCTTTGAAAATGAATTCGCCGAAGAGATCTCTTCGCTAAACCAATCTTCCTTAGTTAATATGACAAGTTATTAGGTTAGACTAAATGAATACATATGATTTCCAAATACGTTATCTAATTCCTTTTCAAAATAATCCAATAATTCATTATCCGAATATTATAGTGCACCCAGTTTATCATTCATTCACAAGTATTTGAGGTCATAAAAGTATTTGCATGCATAAATCCTCTACAAATTATTAAAGTGGCACAGTTTTTCAAGTCCGTTTTTAGAAGTATTGCTCTTGTTATCGAATGGTTTAACTTTTTAGTGACATATAAGGTTGATCGATTGAAGTGAACTAATACGTTGTGACCAATTAATTGACAACTAATCACGAGATACAATCTCCTGACTTGTTACAACAGCCTAATAATCCGTTCTATCTCTACTGAGTCAGTTGGTGGTCATCAATATTCAGTCTATTCGGGTTTCTTTGTAATGCTCATTATTGATCATACAACTAATTATTTCCAGAACCATGTATACACAAAATCCACTTTAGTTTCCCGAATCTATTCATTAAAAGCAAATAATGATACCATGTGTGACAGTTAGATCTGTGTTGTTTACGAAAGCTGCATGCACCAATTCAAAATGATTAAATGAATAGCAACAGAAGTACTAGTATTAGTCACTTAAATACAATAGGACCTTGTGCTGTTTCCTAACGGGGCTTGCTTCAATAATGTTTTTGATTGACTGTTACAGACCATCTATCGATCAACATGTTATCCACTATTCTTAACCGGAATATGACTAAAGCTAATTCGAACCCCTCCATGTTACAATTTAATTTTAGTAGGATACGTAACTATTTTCTTAAGTTCCTTATTTATTGATTTGATTGTGTAGGAGATGGCTAGTAAAGAAATGAAAGAACTTCGTGAGAAATATACTAAAGAAACTATAGAAGACCATCAAATGGCTGTAACTGGTGGAACGGAAACTGATTTATTACGATGTGGAAAGTGTAAGCAGACCAAGTGTACATATAACCAGGTTAGTTGCCTTTAATTATCCTCAAATAAAATCTGGAAATAAAAGTCATCATTGATGACGATAGGTGATGATCTTACTGTATCACAAATTAACTGAAATTGTAAGTGCAAACCATTAGGTCTAAAGTGAGTGACTTATAAGTTGCAAACTTGCTGCGTGGCCCTAAATTTCTGGACTCAAGCTCCTTCGGAGTTATGAATGTGCATTGCTAAGAAATTTCAGATCAGGACAGAACAGGTAGATAGTGCCTTTTTCTTCTATCGCTGATGTCCTCCAGTAATAAAGCTATATTCACGTTAAACTAAGTAACATATCTTACTCGACTGAATACGAGATTATATAAAAGTATTTGTTTTTGATCACAACTCATATTCTATAATTACTTGTTGCATTAAAGAAAATCTGTTCATCACGTAACTGTTGTGCGTTGACTAACAGTTACACGCGTTTTGCAGTGATGCAATCTTGTTAATGTTTAGCTTTAGTTCATTTCTGATTTAGTGCTATTTCTGTCCATAATTTGTTATGCATGAATTCTATATTCTCAATTATCTTGCATATTTTGTCATTCGTTTTTGTCTATATCAGGTTATTATATGAAATGTTTCCAAATAAAACATATTCATTTCCACTAAACATTTTTATGTGAATGCTTTTCCATGTTCTGTTATTTCAATCTAAAAAGTGATAATAAATGCGAGTCAATCGGTAGTCAGCACATTTTGTGATATGAAAACTTCAGTAAATATGTATCTGCTTTTCATAGGCACTGGTATATTTCGCTTATGCTATCCTTTGCTCCCTACCTATTTATGCAGCTCACATTTTAATTAAAAGTTACAACATGCAGTATCATTTTATTTACTTGATACGGTAGGATTCAGTCATTTTTGTCTTCTCTTAACTTGTGTTATATTCTTTTAGAAACACATATACTTCTTCTTTCCATAGGTCCAAACTCGTAGTGCAGATGAACCAATGACCACTTTTGTCTATTGTAACAATTGCGGCCACCGTTGGAAAGTAAGTTCCACTTAATTGCTTTGTTGTAATTTCACATGTCTGGACCTTACTTTATGGGACTTATTTATATTAGTCGCAATAAATCTCCCTAGTTATCTCGTGTGCTCTCAGTGAATACTCCTTTACTTGAAGCAACTCTAATATACTTTTGTTGCTTAGTAAAAGCTTTTCCAAATGAAGATCTACTAAATGAAATATTGACTTGTAACAAGTCTCGAACTATACATTTTCACAACTGGGGTGTTGTAATAACGTTCTCCATCATACTTATTTTAAAGCTGTTGAGCTTAAACCCTAACTAGTGATGTTATTGGATTGTGGCGCTGCTACATGGCCAGGAATATTCCTGCACTGTTGATTGTAAACTGAATTAACAAATTGGCCTAATTTTCTATAGTGGTTACGGTCTATTTCACACTTACCAGCTCATTAGCATGTAGGTAGCTTGTTGGAGATCCAATCGATTACTGTTGACATTGATTCCAAATCTTTTCGCAAAGCCATGCCAAAATAGAATTTCCGTAATAAGCTTAAAATCTATGGTTAAACTACTTCTATGTTCTTAAATGCCATTCGCTAAAAAAGCATTTTTAGCGGGTTCTTCCAGAGTCCCAACTCGTGCTTATTTCTTATTCTTATCAATTTTGAACGTTGAATGTATCAGATGTAAACAAATAGTTTCTCATTGGAGACAATTCAATATAGTTGACAGGAACTAGTTTCGTGATGTAATGAAGTTGGAAGTAAAAGTGGATGACAATGTGAATATCATATAATACCACAAAAACTAAAGCAATTGAATAACTTATTTTTTGCATAGTAAGATTGAGTTGTATTAACTCCTCAGTCTGTTTTTGTATATTATGTCGTGATTTAAAAAAAATAGCTATGTTACTGTTCAGGTTTCTGGATCCAAACAGTTGTTTTTCCGAGGGAGCTGACTATCTTCAAGCTTGTTGTGTAAAAGCTCAATCCATAAAGCAATTAAACAACGTTGGGGAATGCATTTCCATAGCATCCGATGACTAGGTGAACGTAGATTATTACTCTATTTCCAATCAAAAGTCAAAATGATGCTTATATGTTCACCAGTAATAAGGAGTTTAACGCAAAACAGAAATCTGTTGTCATTAAGTTGGTGTTCATTAGCATGCGCACTCATGAGCTGATTTATTTACAACCCGACATTAATTGATCATCTAATCATTTTTTCAAGTAAGTTGTCTGTCTTTTTTTCTTGTAATTATAACATTGTTTACAACAAGCATTTGAAAATTTGTTTTTCTAACAGTTTTGCTGACAGCTCGGAAAAATCATTGTCCAGCCACACTTATCCACTAATTTTCTGCTGCGATACTTAATTAAATTGTTTCAATGTGAACACTAATACTAAAGAAGAAACTAGAGAAGAAATATCCATCTTCGTTTTTGACTTTGTTCATTCTCGAAAATCTGTTTTTTAGGAAGAAATAGACTGTCATAGTTGGACAAAAAGATGAATTATGTCCCATTATTTTTTTCTTGCGACTTGTTGTCTTACATTGTCTGTCCAAATATATCTGACACTTGTGTGTAAATATTTTGCATGTATATGTTGGTGTTTGCGAATCGCTCTACATAAAAATGTCATTTTTATTACATAAAATCTTTATAATATACTTTGGTAAAAATGTATAGGGAAACAGTTTTCCGCTGAGATTGTCGACCTGTAAAGTTGCTACTATACTCCTAGTGTATATTTTACCGCTTTATGTAACACACAATAATTGTTATTCTATTTTTAAGTCCTCATTGTATTAAAAAAACCATGATTTATTCATATATATTGTTTCTGTAATTTTGCTTTAAGACTGTTCATCATTAAAGTAATCTTCATTAATTCGTCTACAATATTGCCCTTCCTATAGCAGCTTTAAATTGTACACAAATAAAATAGTATTACTTGTTTTAATCCGTATTTCAGAGTGATATGGTAAGTTATGGCTAATCAAAGCTTTGCCAACATTGTATCAGTTTTATTTGTTAGAGTATTGTCTAGACGGTTCTTTCATCCATCCAGTCATTCGAACGCTATGTAGAACCTGGCATACATGTGCATCGGCTCAAGCTTCCACACCATATCAACGTAGGGAGATGCCAGATTGTAAACTTAATAGCAATATCCGTTGTGGTAGGAAAGATTCGGCATAAACAATATGATTATAGGAGACATGAATTTGTGAGATAAAAAAGTACAAGGGGATTTCAAAACTCGAGATCTGAGATAAGACAAAGATCCCTGTTTAACAAACACAAGTCAACTGGAGAGTGAGATGACCAACTCATTTACCCTTAACAAATCAAAATCATGTCTTCTATATCTTATGATTATTGGTTTGTGAAATCATTTTAAACTCGAGTTTTTTTTATCGTAATGGAGCATTTATCTTTTGTTCAAATCAACTTTGTTTGACCAGCTATATGTATTAGATCTACCACTAACTGATTCATTCGACAAAAAGTTTATATAACTTTTCATGAGTATAGAGATCTACAGTGTTTATTAATTTAAACAACTATCAGTGAAATAGTTATGTTGCCCTCGTAAACACTGCAGTTTGTTTGCTAGATACGAAGCTGAATTGAGAGATTGAATTCATACATAAACTATTCGTTATTTACTGGAAAAACAGGATTTAGAAACTAATAAGTTAATAAAACTGCGAAATTATGTTACTACTGATTATAATCCTACTACAGATTTTAGACTTAGAGTACTAGGTAAAGATGGTAAATCAGTTGGTGAAGTAGAGAATATCCATCGACTGTAGTGATTGGGATACGTATTATGTTTACCAAAACACAGTAGAAGCGTGTTGTTTGATGGTGTAAGATTTCGTTGGAAGAAAGCTAGGGATGGCCAAACCAAAACGTGTTTTGAGTTAAACTGAGGTAGGTGGATGAAGTTACGAAGCTATAACTTAAGGGTTGGAAGTTGAGTGCTTTAGCCTCTTAGTCACAGTGGCTTGAAAATTCAGGTAGAAAACAATATTAAAGATAAATTTTTGGTCATCCATATTGTCGGGTAATCTGAATCTCTAGTTTCGCAAAATGTACTGTTAACATCCTGAATATGTAGAAAATGCAGGATTGGGTGTATCAAGTACGAAAATATAGAATTATTAAAGTTTATTCTTAAATAAAATGCACACTTTGTCCCCAAGTATCTACAGAGAATTACTAAAGTGTAAAAAACAATTTTTCCTCATTATAACATATACCGAACACTTAGAAACCCAATGAAATGTATCATAAGCTTACTACTTTATTTTGTGATTTTTTTTAAATGACAGCTGTCCAAACATCGTTTTATCTACTGTTAATCAACTTTTGAAGAGTGGCTGCGATAAAATCTGATAAGCTTTCAGTTTACATTAAATATTACATTCACATCTGACAATTTTACTCCCATTTGTTGAAGGATTAGTATTTTAATTAAAAAATCCCTCTTACGAGTTTCTGGTTGGTAATCAATTTCATGTTATTGAATCATTAAAGTTAGTGGAAGCATAACTACTAAACCTACAATATTGTTATTCATTTACGTGAGTTGTCAATTTTAGTGTATTATATTGAAAGTTAAGCATTCTACCAATTAGTTGAAAACAAATTATAAAAATCTATCTAACTATTATACTGAGTAAAACACTGTATTGACCCCCTGCTAATGAATACAAACCACTACCAATACTTTTCTTACAAAAAATCAAAGTTTAAACCTTTAACAATCAATATACTCCATTTATAGTTTTATTGTCAGTTCAGTCTTCTCATTTATACATAACATTGAGGTGAATAGTTACACAAAGAAATAATTCACTTTAAATGATCAGCTCGTAACGTACACGGTTCTTAGTCCGGATCGAATTCTGTCGATTAAATTTGTCTAGTGGCCATTAAAGGACTACATGTAATTGGTTGCTATTTCATACTAATATATCAATATGCTACGTTTGAAGAGATTACGAGATCACTTAAAATCAGCAACACAACGACAAGACAAGCTTAACATTTCTGTTGCGTCCCAGCCCCGCTAATTAGAGGGGGAAAGACGTGGTACAGATGAAGGAGAGGTATATTCCACAAGTAGCCAGAAGTACTAACAACCGAGCATACATCTCAAGCGTATATATGCAGCATAAAAATGTTCATCTGATACAAAATATTCAAAGGGAACGGACGAATGACATTTAGCGTCTTTTCAAGTAGGAAATACCATCTGAAGGTGAAAATAGTCGCTAAAACTAGGGATTCAAACTTCCAAATAAGACGTGATTTCTGGTAACCGAGCATCCCCAACACATGACAAGCGTTACAATCTTTATTCAGGCTAGTCGTGTCTTTGACTTCGACAGCGAGTAATATTGATTCATATCTCTAGGGAAGGGGCTCCAGCTTACCAAGGATTGAAACACTGCTTTGCTAATAAATAGGAACTATCACCAACCCTTTTCTAGGAGCTTTAATACTAGCTGTACCCGATCACAAACCTTTGTTTGTGATAATTGACAAAGATTTTTAGTAGCAACCGGTTAATGTTAGATTTTATTAGTACAGGATAATGTACATTTAATTGGGTGACTTTCACAGGAAAAACAGCTTTCAAACTAAATAAAAATGTAATCTTCATGGTGCAACGTTTGGAAAGTTTTCGTATATTCTGTACATAACTACGTACAACTCATACCAGTTATGTTTTATTTTTTAGAGAAACAACTATTTTTATCAGTTTCCATTAAGGAAATAGTAGTAAACGGACATTAGTAGGATTCAGATTACATAATGGTAATTGAGCCTGTCATAATGGCGGAATTGGAAACATATTTCAATCATTCTGGTAACTAATAATTAATTGGTGGGATACGAACAACTTACTAAATAAATCTGATAAATTTACTGCAGTAACGCAGAATTCGTCACGTCTATCAAGGATTCTTTATGGTCAACCTCATTAAATATTATGCATGGTTTTGTATTGTATTTGATTGACTAGCGATTAGTTGATACTTAAAAAATACCACAAACACAACATAGTACTTGTAAGTAGCAAACAAACTAATATTACAATTCCTTCCTTCTCTGTAGTAATTTACTCCCGACTATTCCGCACTAAATTTTCAAGTTCTGACTTATTAAATTGATAACATTAATAAATGTCGCTAATTGTATTCTGGAAGCGTGATTTTCAAAAATGTTGAATAAAATGGAAAGTTAATTGCGGTAGGAACGTTTACATATAAAGGATGAAACGTGACGGTTAATTGTAAATATACATTGATAAAATGTTTCTGTCTGATATTTAAGAGATTCCATCCAATTAGAGGTAACTCAGTAGAAATTCTCATGAATAACCTGAACATAAAAGGAAGTGTTATTTGATATCTTGTTAGAAATCAAAGTGTAATATCAAGTTTTAAAATCTAACATTAGTGTTTTGCGTTATCCCTAAGAAATATATCATGAAATGTTTTTTAATGTGTATTGATCACTAGATGCTGGTAATTATATCTCAGACTCCCTTCATTACTCCATAAAATCTTACAGTAATTATTCGTTAAACGATGTTTCATACCTAGAATTTCAACCAGAAATGTGTTTAAAACACGTTCCAAACTCATTTAGACTTAAAGTAATTTGGGGGAACAATTATTTACACCTGTTACTCTTTGTGGAGGAGCATGGGCCTCTCACTAACATTCTCTATCCTGGGCAATCCTTTCCGGTTTCTATTCATTCTTTTGATGCCTGCTTTCGATTCTCGACTCAGTGTGTTCTGTGGTCTTTTCCGTTTCCCTTGAGGATTCCAGGTAAGCGCTTGCCTAATGATGCAGTTTGGTGATTTGCTCAATGTATGTCCTGTCTACTTCTAAAATCTTTTCCCAATTTTCTCTCCAACTGGGACCTGGTTTGTTCTCTCACACAGTAGGTTGTTGCTGATGCTATCTGACCAACGGAAATTAAGTATATTGTGTAGACAATTGTTTATAAATACTTGTACTTTCCTGATGATGGTTGTGGTAGTTCTCCAAGTCTGAGCTTCGTACAGTAGGACTGTCTTGACGTTCGTATAGAAGATTCTGACTTTGATATTGGTTGACAGTTGTTTTGAGTTCTATGCGTTCTTGAACAGTAGGAATGCTGTCCTTGCTTTGCCAATCCTTGCCTTCACGTTTGTATCGGATCCTCTTTGTTCATCGATGATGCTACTCAGCTACATGAAAGATTCCACCTCTTCTAGAGCTTTTCCATGGAGTGCGATTGGTTTGGTGTTCTCTGTGCTGTATTTGAGGATGTTGCTTTTTCCTTCGTGTTTGTTGAGGCCTACTGATATAGAGGCTTCTTCTGAACAGTTTGTCTTGAACCTCATTTGTTGGTATGTATGGGCTAGAAGCATCAGGTCATCTACGAAGTCTAAGTCGTTTAGTTGCATGCAAGCTGTTGATTGTATTTCGTGCTTCCCCTGAGATATGGAGGCCTTCATATTCCAACCACCAGAAGAAAGAGGAAGGGAGATGGTAAGCATCCTCGTCTGACTCCGGTTGCCACTTGGAGGGTGTCTGTCAGCTTTTCTCCATACATAACTTTGCACTGTAATCCGTCGTATGAGTTCCGGATGATTATCGATCAACTGGAAGCTGTCTTTACCAGTCAAACTTTAAACACTTAAGTCAGCTGTTAAAATCTTTGTCTCGTCCCACTGGTTTTTGTGATCAAACAGTATGGTTGTGAACTTATTGTGAAAAGAATAAAGCTTATCCATTTTATTTGGATCAAGTATCCAGCTGTGTGTACTTACAAAAAGACTTAATCAACGATACGAGAAATAAATCTAGTGTTCAGTACGTATTTTTATGAATCGATTATGCGACTGAACAATTAGTTCTCATCACGGACTAAATTCAATCGGTTTACAATTATTTATCACCCAAATAGACATAAACAATGTCTTTGAAACTGGAGTAATTCATTCAATTAACCAACCGAACAATTAAATCATTATCCTTCTCTTCGCAATAAGTAATGCTACGTATACTAACTTGGATTGATCTTATTATCTCATTATCAAAAAGGTTTTCATTTTAAATGATTTTCATCATGTTGCTGAGAAAGATTTTAAGTGTTTACCATCTCTTCATTCATATCCATGGATATAAATCACAAAGAAAACACTTTAGTATTATTTTTAGAAAATAAATACTTTAGTTTTGGGACCCCTTGATTGTTCCTCGAAAAAGTTTCCAAAAGCGCAGAAAATGCTAAACATAATTCGACCAATTACTGCTCTTTGAAAACTTACAAGGAAAATCTAAAAAAAAGATTAATATATCATTTCTCTAAAAACTTCTAGAACTCCAAAACCATACATATTCACAATAATAATCGTTTTCTGAGCATAATCTAACCTCCAAAATAAGACTTTCAGACTTTCCACTGTCTTTTTTGTTCATGGCTCAAGTTTAGCATACCTCTTTCTATGTGAAAGCGATTCAGAAATTCCTGCCTGAGTGTTCATGTAAAAGGCCTATCAACAAAATAATACAGACTGTACTTTTAAGAATCTATCTAGTTGGCTTGTCAATTAAAACTTAAAATCTAACCTCTGAAATAAACCTGAACGTACTATATTCTGTCTATTTAGAACTACTTATGGCGTCGAACATATAATATCTAATAATGCGATTATTAATATCAATCTGGACACTAGTCTAATGACCCGAAATTTCATGTGCACTATTTGGGTTTTACTGAGTTGGAGGTTTCAATAGGCCAAGGTATTGCCTAGTCGTTTCAGTAGTGACCGTAACATTGAGTGACGTAGTTTACAGTCCCATAAATGATATCAGTTCCCTCAAAACGACAGATGTTCTATGAAATTAATTTTGAGGAAACCTAGATCAAGGTATTCCTGCCGACTGCTTACAACTATGCAAAGCTTAGTTCTCTTGATAACACTAAATATAGCAAATATAACAATTACTTCTACAGGAAAAACTAAATTTATCATTCTATTTTAAATTTTTTCATCATTTACAAACATTTTTAATTTACAAAGAATCATATGGTCAGTAAACAGACTGCAAATATATCGAATGTTAGCTTAGAAGTATAGGCTATCTGGAACTTGTAAGAAGCTTTAAAAGTAAAGGAGTATAACACATTTTAGTCACCAATTTTTATTTTCGTGCCATTCAGTATTTATATTAAAAAATTCTAAATGTTTTAGGCGAATAGAAACGACCTTTAATAAATGAGTTTCGTTTGTAAATACATTGGATCAAATTAAGTCTTTTCCAAACTTCACATCTAGAAATTATTGATACGATAAGTTATAGACTAAGAGGGACTGTACAACTGTTTCGTTCTAGTATGGGACTGTTCAGAAGTGGTCATCAGTGCCCCCCTAGCGCTTGCTGGTTTTTAATAGTTGGACTGAGATCAGTCCGTGATGCAAACTATGCAATTCCACAATTTCAGCAAACCGTCTATTGTGATAGAAACTGATAAGCAATGTCATAGTATCCTCTCCATAGTGCTGAACAAATCG